TCCTGGAAGTTTCTGTCTGGAGGAGCCACCGTACCTGCCACCTCTGCAGCATTGTCCTGTCGAAGCTGGCGTGTCTCCTGTGAACGAAAACCGTGGCGGTGATGAAATATCCCATGCGTGGAAAATGGGGGAGAGATGGGGAGCGGTGGGGCTCTGCGGGGTCAGTCATTCAGGAAAGACACGGACTTTCTACGGCACACGGTGGCCATCCAAGGCCACTGTGATGAGACTATTGCCGGCCCTTGCTCCCCCCGACCCTGCCACGAAGGTCAGGTCGTGGCAGTCACTGTCCCTGTTTCAGGACAGCAGGACATGCTGCTGCCTGAGCACGGCCCGGGAGTCTCGGGACGCACAGAAGCAGAATCCGGGCCTCACTCTCAACCCCGGTCACACGGACTTCCCGCAGCCATGCCTCAGCCTTCTTTGCCCGTTCCCCTTTGCATGACACGTGTGCATGATATATGCATGTGGTAAAAAAAAAGGTGCAAACGATATGGAAAGCCACGGAATAGTGTCCAGACCACTGCTCCCACTCAGGAAGGGTCTATGGTTAACAGTTTCCAGTGAATTGTCCCATGCGCCTGCCTACATGCTTACGTAGTTCTTCAGAATGATCATACATGGGGCATGTTACGTAGATATTCAGTTGTATATATACATTATATATATTATACACACACCGTTCTCCACGGGCTTCTCTTCCCCGACAACAGCCCTGAAGACCAGCCCCCATCATGTTCACTTCTACGCTACCATTCACCTTCGCACGGGTGGGTCATAACCCTCGGGCCTGCCCGTGGCCAGCTTTGCACGAACGATGCTCCCACAGCCACCTCTGGACATGACCCTCCGGGTTCTTCTGTGAGTGTAGCTGAGGTGGGTCCAGCCCTGCTGCTCTTGCACTTAAGGCCGGCCCACAGCTCAGCGTGACATGCAGAGGGAGTGGGGTCCCACGTGACCGACCACGGTCTGAATCTAGCCCCGTAGCTTGAATCACTAGGTACACGTGCACACGCCCCAAATCGTGGCGAGCTGGAGAAATGGAGGAAAACACCTGCAGAGATCATACCCCCTTTCTTTCTCTCCCCGGTGAACACATGCCCTCTGGCAATTGAAAAAGAAAAAAAAAAAGAGAGAGAAAAAGAAGTGTAAGCATTTTAAATTTTGCTGCATGTTGCCGAACTGCCCTCTTAAAAGGCCATACTTGAGCTAACGTGTGGCTTGGTGGTAAGGCAGGATATGTGGTTCAAGCCCTGGATCTGGCAGCTTGAAAAACACCCTAGGTCTGCATGCACGTCTGTCCAAAAGTCCTGCAAGGAGGTGAATGGGGGTATTTTCTCACTGTACTACTCTCTCTTTGTCTCTCCTTGTCTCTCTCTGGAGAGGACACACGTAGTCTGGCAAAAATTAAAAACAAAAAGTGGTATACTAGAGGCCAGATGTGGCACAACAGTCAAACCTGGTCCTCTCTGAGGCTGATCTACATGGGAACATTCCAAGTTCTTGTCCCAAGGCTTCCCTGAGCATGTAGGGTGGACGTGTGCCCACGACCCTGGGCTGGCTGAGGCTGGACAGGCACTGTGGAGTCAGGACGCCATGAAGGGTGCTGTATCGCTGTCTCTCTCTCACTCATGGGAAAAATATAAGTAAGCTGAATTTTTTTAAAAAAAAGGCTGTACCAATTTACACTTCTACAATTAAAATATAGCTACAGAGGGCCAGCAGGTGGCAGGTGGGTCAGGTGATCCCACAGAGCTGCCTCCACAGTGCAGCCCTGGACCTGGACGCTTGAAAACCATGCTGAGGACATGTGCGTGTGCCTAAAATCTTGAGAGGAGTAGGGATTGTGATGTGCGTGTGCCTAAAATCTTGAGAGGAGTAGGGATTGTGGTGGGGCCATCCCCTTGGGTGATGATTTCTCACTTTCCCTCTCTCTCTCACTCTCCAGAACCCTATAGAGAGAAAACACTTAAGAAAGAAAGAAAGAAAGAAAGAAAGAAAGAAAGAAAGAAAGAAAGAAACCTGGTCCTCTCTGAGGCTGATCTACATGGGAACATTCCAAGTTCTTGTCCCAAGGCTTCCCTGAGCATGTAGGGTGGACGTGTGCCCACGACCCTGGGCTGGCTGAGGCTGGACAGGCACTGTGGAGTCAGGACGCCATGAAGGGTGCTGTATCGCTGTCTCTCTCTCACTCATGGGAAAAATATAAGTAAGCTGAATTTTTTTAAAAAAAAGGCTGTACCAATTTACACTTCTACAATTAAAATATAGCTACAGAGGGCCAGCAGGTGGCAGGTGGGTCAGGTGATCCCACAGAGCTGCCTCCACAGTGCAGCCCTGGACCTGGACGCTTGAAAACCATGCTGAGGACATGTGCGTGTGCCTAAAATCTTGAGAGGAGTAGGGATTGTGATGTGCGTGTGCCTAAAATCTTGAGAGGAGTAGGGATTGTGGTGGGGCCATCCCCTTGGGTGATGATTTCTCACTTTCCCTCTCTCTCTCACTCTCCAGAACCCTATAGAGAGAAAACACTTAAGAAAGAAAGAAAGAAAGAAAGAAAGAAAGAAAGAAAGAAAGAAAGAAAGAAAGAAAGAAAGAAAGAAAAAGAAATACAAATTGAACCAGTGATCCATCTGGCAAGAGAGAGTTGAAAAGCAGCATAGCAGGATGCAGGAGGCACCTGAAGCCTTCCACTCAGCAGGGCCTTAGCCTCCACGGTGTCCCTCAGCCTCCACGGTGTCCCTCAGCCCCTTTTCCAGTTCCCGTTTCTTTCCCCTCTGCCTTCCTGAGACTCTCCTACTCCTAGGACTGCATCTTTGCCCAGGGTGTTTCACTAAACCAGACCCAGCCAAGCCAAACCAAACCACTCCTCGCTCCACCCACACCCTCTGCCCACTCTGTTCTGGAGCCCAAGACCCTGTATCCTACGTGTCCTCTATGCTCTGTCTGCATGGACTATGCCAGGACCCCGCAGGCCTCTGGACAGGGCCCAGCTGCCCAAGCGCCCCAGCCGGCGTAGCCTCTTCCTCTTCCCATTGGCCCCTGTTGAGCATTCGCCCTGGGCCCCCATCCCTCCACGTTCACTTCATAGGCAGATGTTCCATGAGCGGAAAGCATCTCCCAGGCTCAGGGTCACTCCTCCCAGCAGAGAGCCACCTGCTTGGTCCCCTTGTAACCAGGCAAACGATGACAACAATGAGAGGCAAAACGTTGGCAGTTTGACTGTTTTCGATCTCAAAGGCTTCAGTGAAGATGGAGTTCTCCTGCTGTTGGTTACCCTGCAGCCCACGCCATCCTGGAGAGCGGCTGCTGTCAGGGTCATACACAAGGGCAGGGCCCAGGCTGGACACAGGGAGGGTCTCTGCCTTGACCAGGACACATGCTGAGCCTCACAGAGCCACCAGCATATGGAGTGGGTGTGGGAGACCTGCTAGTCTTCCACTCTACTTTAGACTTTGAAAGGGGGTGAGAACAGGGAAGCCAAGGGTTCCTGCTCTGGACCAGGAAATGAGGCGACCTCTGCTATCCTCCTTTCAGAGAGGTTCTAGAATTTTGCCTGTGGTCGTTTGTGAGGTTGCCATCGGTGGAATGGTGTGCAGGAGGAAAAGGCATCTCACCATCCCCGCCCTCGTTTCATCAGCTATGAGCTCCAAGGAAGACCTCTCCTTCCAGAACCATCAGAGAAAGACACCGTCACCAGAGGCGATAAGACACCTTGCCCAACGTGAGCTCTGTTTTAAAAAGTATTTTAAAATTATATTAATCTGGGGACAGTTATAGAATTCTTGAAGTGGTTTCTATGAATTTTGTAAATATCTGGTAATTAGCTAAAAGTATTTTTAATAGTTGACAAATTGCATTACCCATCATTATTATGTAGATTTTATTAATAGATGAAGACAAGAGGCCAGAGATGGCTCTTGCTTTCACAATCTCCCCTGAGGTCTGGGAAAGGCACGGTAGGAAGGAGTCAGGTTTGGGGGTCAAGGAAACCTGGATCCAATTCTCCCTCTACACTTGATTTGGGGGAGGTCCCTGGCAAGACCCCAGCCTTCTGTGAACCACTGTTACCACATCCCTCCCATGTCTGCCCACTCCTGCATGGGAGTGCGGGGACAGCAAGTGGGATTCCGGGCCTGGAAAAGGAGAGTGCAGGGGTGGCATGGGTGTGTTCTGGCATGTTCTCGAGTTCAAGAGCAAGGGCTAGTCTTGTCTGCTCTGGGGGGAAGAGGATGTCTTGGAAGTCTGTGCCTGCTCTGGCCAAGGGAGTCTCCAGCGTGCAGTGAGCATGAGGCACCCTGGGCATCTGCTGAGGTGTCTGCCGAGTCATAGGGCAAGAGTCAGAGCCCTTGGGCAATTTGCAGTCAAGCTGGGTTGAACAGAAGAACTCAAAGCCAGTGACGCCTAGCAAGGCCATCCTGTGTAGCCTGAGGTGGTCGTGGCTGGGTGCCCCACAGAGACGGTGGGTGCTGAGGGACTTCCCAGGTGAGAAGCCCATCTCTAAACCCGGACATTTGGGTGGTTGGCAGCGAGATTCAGCTCAAAGCCTGCCTTGTTTCCAGCAGTGACAGTGGCCCATGCTGCTGTGTTTTCAGTCAAATCTATGTCCTCTCTCCCCAAAGTGCTTTAGAAGCTGGAGTGCCACTGCCACTGCCTTGGGGCCTCTCCACCCGTGTGCTGCAGTGTCAGTGCCTGTGGTTTGGTCCTGGTTGTGCTTTGGTCAACTCTCTCGGACTGGCTTCCCAGACTAACACCCCACTGTCTCCTGAGTGGGCAGCATGAGGAGGCAGCTGGGGGCATCCCCAGAGCTCCCTGTTCCTGGAGGGGCTGGTGGAGCGGCCTACAGCTGAGCCTTCAGAGGTGCTGGCTTACCCCCAGACTGAGGGGGCTCTGGCAAGGGGTTCACCTGGCCGCAGGCTGTACCCTCAGCCCAGGAAGGAACTGGGGGTCTCAGCCCATCCTCTCCTCACCTCTGGGACTAGGAGGCTAGCCTAACCCTAACCTGCAGACGACTGCGGAGGGCTGCACCAGACGCCCCTCCAAACCTCGCTGCCTGTCCAAATTCTCCCTTGCTGTTTATTTGGAAGACAGTCATGAGGACATGGTGACACTCATTGGTGAGTGACCAAGGAATCTGAGTCCTGAGCTGAGAGGTGTCAGGAAAACACAAACCATAAGAAGAAAACATGTTCATCTTGGCAAAACATGACTGGAAACCCAGGCCTGCTCAAGACTTGGGCTCTTCCTCAGGATGGAGCAGCTGACCTGAACAGCCTCTACCTGGGCAAGGCTCCTGAGACCGGAACACCTGCTGGACGGTGCCAGGAGACACCCAGAGGGGGTGAAGTCTAGTGGGAAGCCCAGGCTTTGGCATTAGTAACACCTCCCCTTTTTTTCCTTCTCAGAAGCAAATTCAGATTAGCTGGGACTCTGCATTTTCAGACCTAAGTAGCAGCCAAGGGGAATCCACAGCCAGCTATTTTCTTTCAAACTGGAGATTTCCCTTCAGGTTACTGAGGTATTGATTCTGTGATAACTTCCTATCTTTCTCCATTTCCCTAACATAAAATCTCACATGTGGTTCTAAACCTAATAATGACACTCAGCAATTGTGTAATCTACTACTTGCAAAGACTTTTTGCCTATTGTCTAATTTTCACAAAGACCCACTGACACAATCACTATCTGCAATTACATAGGAGTAAATGGAGTGTGGAGCCAGGGACTCTGCAGAGACCAGTGGAGTGTGAGATTTATTGCTGGTTCCCCCGGTCACCTAAGGCCTGGCACAGAGCAAGTGTCCATGAACACTGGACACATGAAGCTGTTGAAGCACCTGGCAGGAGCAGACGTTGACCAAGGGCCCTGACTTTGGAGACCAGGCTCTTTTCTCTGAAGGGAAAGAAAAAAACAAAGCAAGCAAGAAACAATAAACATGGAAACCTTAGTCCTGATTAAACAAAAAGCCATCTTTCTTACCAATTAGTAGTTGGCCCGTGTTTGAAGGCATTCTGTTAAAAAATGTGATTTAGTAACTTTTTCAAATGATTATGGCATAACCATACCATAACATGAGGTTGCAGATGGACTTAAAGTCTGGAAGTTCATATAATATGTACAACGTTACCTCCAGGTACCGAAATTATGAATGGTTTTGATTTGTACGAGGTTTTACATATTTACATTTTAAACCGTATTTATTTTCTTACATATTTTCTTGTTTAAAACATTGACTTTGTATTTTCTTATCTGTGTTTTATGATTTTTACATTATTCATTTTACTGATTTAAACTGTGTATTTTTATGTATGTTCTAATTAGAAATATACCAGGTAGTAAAATTTGGAATAATTTAAAACTTTCTATTGATTTTTATTTGCTAATTTTATTCAAAGCCACTTACTGTATAAACTAAATGGTGTGCATTATTTTATATGGGGCTAGAAACATGAAATCATGGTGGTGTTCACGTATTTTAAATGTTTTAGCTAACTCTATCTCTAATGATTAATTTTATTTTTAAAAATTTCTTTCATTTTACCTTTTTGGCACTTTCCAAAATTGTTATTGTCTAGATTAATCTTGGATTTAAAATGATATATCTTTTTTTTTTTCCCCATCTAAACTGCATTTAATAGAGCTCCCTGGGCTGTTGCATGGAGAGCACTTTGCAGGCATCTTTTCCAAGGCTGGCTTTAGAAGGATTATTTTTCTTTATTACATTTTTTTTGTTTCTTTAAATTTACATGTAATCACTGTACATCTTTGCAATGTACAAAAAAGTTTTCCCCAACATGAATGCAATGCATATCAATCACTTGTTTATTTTTAATTTGCCTCTAAGTGAAAAAAGTGACCATTTTTATTTATTTCTGTATCTCTATTTTCTAATTTTTCTATGATGTTAGTTTATTATCTGCATACTAATTTTTGGGTTTTTTTTGGAGAGGTTTTTGCTATAGGGCATGTGCACTCGCCAGAAAGACAGAGAGAGACAGACAGAAAGCGAGAAATCACCCCCCAGAGGGGATGGCCACGCCACAATTCCTTCTCCTCCATTCTCCTCTCAGGATCTTGGGCACGCATGCACACGCACCCGGCGTGAGTTTAAGTCACCGGGTCCAGAACTCGAACCGCAGTCAACTACATGGGAGTCCAGCAACATAGCCATTATGCTAACTGCTGGTCCCTCTGCATACTAATTTTAATAATTAAGTGATTTTACTAATTTTTCTCAATTTTCAGGAGTTTAAGATAAAAAAAATACTGAAAAAATACTCTAAATGCATAAATATATTCATTGAAGTCTCATTAATGATAGCGCCAAAATGGAAACAAGGGCAAACAAGCCCCACCAGGGCCAGTACCGTATCGTTACCCCAGACGTAGGTTTTAGAGCCTACATGTCGGCATGTTACACATACCACCCGCCGAGGACAATGACCACAGGCCCTGTGATTTTATCAGCACGCCCAGCTCCGCTGATTTCAGAGTGTGAAAAGAGGCCCAGCCTGGGGGCCACAGGCTAGCTCGCAGAAGTGCAGCCCTGCAAGCCACGTGGTCACCCCCGGAGTGGAGTCCCTTAGTCCTCCTGAAAACGTGCTGGGCGAGTGGAGGGCTGGGAAGGGGTGGAGTGAGAACCCTCAAGGGTGCCTCTCTCTCTCTCCTCTCTCTCATGAATAAAATAGAAATAAATAGAGTAAAGCCAGGGTAAAGAGAGTGCAAAGAGAAAGAGAACTGCATGAAATGCTTAAATCCAAATAAAACACAGTCTTCTCAAAAACTAAAAAGCGGGAAAAAATGATTGGACACATAAGAAGGAAGTCGAATGATACTTTGTGGGACTGGATGTTCCTGAAGTTAGATGTGTCCCTTAAAAGGGACACAGGTGGCTTTCCTGCTGTAGCAAGTGCCATGCCAGGTGGTTGCCATGGAAGCCGCTTTGCCTGCTCCTCTAACCCTCTGGACAAGAGGGCTGGGGAGCCCTGAGAAAAGTCCCGCTGCAGGAATCACTGGGATGGGATTGGTCTGCCTGGAGGATGAGCAAGGCCTGGTGGGAAGCCGTTCAGCCCGGCATCCTTTCACGTTGTGGGGCTGACGTCAGGCTATGCTAATTAACTCCAGAACGCAGTCCCTTGTTGCCTGGTGACAAAGTTTCACAGCGGAGAAGGAGAAACAACTGCTGGGGTAAGTTCTGCTCTGGTGGTGGTTCTGCATTTTTCAATTTACTTGAATTTTGCCAAACCACCACCACTTCAAACCCCCCCCCTTTTGAGTAAGCAGCTTTAGAAATGCCTGATCTCCTGGTGTGCTTTATTTACAGCCCCAGACAGGAACTAATGCATTATTTAGAAGAGAGAAAGCTGGTCCTGAGGCCCAGCCAGGAAGGGCACCTAGCAGGGGATGCAGCCAGGTCACCTAAGGTGTTTGGGGCCGGGCACGTTGGGGCGGGGAGGAGGGTGGGCCAGCGCGTCCTGGGGGTGGTGCTAGATTCTCTCTCCAAAGCCAGAGCTCCTTGAGAACTGCTGCTCTCCAGAAGTAGGTGCAGGCCAGTTACCCTCCAGGGAGCCTGGAATGGGAGTGCAAGTCCATACAGGAGGCTGAGCCACCCAGCTAACTGAGCAGGCCTCCCCGATCACTGCTAACTACGCTGAGCCTGGGCAGATCGTCCTTTGAAGTGTCTGTGGTAGATTCTGGGTAGTTGTCCTGAGCCCTAGGACCCTCAGAGCTCCAGCTACTTTGTCTGTCTAGTGGAGTTGAGAATCAACACACCAGGGAGTCTAAAGAATCACTTCTGTAAAATACCTCGCCTATGGTGGCTGGTCAGTAGAATCCATATAAGAAGGGTCTTCAAAAATTTCATAGAAAAAAACATTCTGTGGGGGCTGGCAGATGCATGAAGGCTAAGGTGCTGGATGGTTCAAGTCCCGAACCTGGCAGCATGGAGATCACACCAAGTGTGTTTGCATGTGTGCCCAAAGTCCTGAGAGAAGAATGGAGAAGGAGCTGCCGTGTGGCCGTGCCCCCTAGGGAGTGATTTCTCATTTCCCCTCTCTCTGTCTCTTTCTCTCTCTCTAGCAAGCACACACACACTGTATGTCAAAAAAAAAATTCTTAAAGAAAAAGTGCTGGGGTCAGCTGGTGGCATGTGGTTAAGGCAGCTAGATCCTACATGGTAGGCTGCATGGGAAAAGTCCTGGACCTGACAACTTGAAAAACATGCCAACACATGTGCAGGTGTGCCCAAAATGGAAAATGGAAGAGAAAGGATTGAGGCATGGCCAACCATGCTGGGGTGCTCTCTCACTTTCCCTCTCTCTCGATCTCATCTCTCCATCAAGTGCATGCACACTGTGAGAAATTAAAAAAAAAAAAAAGGCCCAGACCTCCTAAAAGTTTCAGCCGCCCCCCCATTTCTCTCTGGCTGACCCCACATACAGTCTAGGCGACTGTCCCTCCAATAGCTCACCTATCCCCCGTCTGACTCTAGAGGGCCCCTCGCCACACCCCATCCACCACGCACTGCCTTCCACTCCGGCTAGCAATGGCCGGTCTTACCAACTCCTGACTTCGACTGCCTTCCCAGGTGACAGGGACTCTTAGATGTCCACAGGCCATGGCCGCCCTGAGCACACAGCTTGCCTCGCACGGCCCTCTGTGCTTTAGCCACCCCAGTCCCTCCTTCCTCCAGCATCCAGGCACGGGCTTCTCTTCACTCCAGGGACTTTTGCGCTTCCCCAGATTTTTCCATGGGCTTCCTCTTAGCACTCAGGTCACAGCTGGCCTGGGTGTGGCCAGCTCCTCCCCACCCACCTCCTTCTAAATTAACGGCCACCTCTACCTCTGCTGAGATTCCTCCCTGGCTTTGGCATTTTCTGTTTTATTTGAGCAGCATTTATCCCAATGAAACGCTCCTTGGGTTTTTCTGGTTTGAGTTGTTTTATTGGGAGGTGGCTTTGTGCTTGAATGGGAGTTTCACAGGAAACCCAAGTGTCTGTGTGGTTCACTGCAGAGCTCTGACCTGCGAGCCAGGAAAGCTGGGAGAAAGCTAAGCTAGGAGAAAGCTGAGGCCCTGTCGAGGGCACGGGAGCTGGAACTGGCCTTATTGGGCACTCAGAATGCAATCCCTCAAATAGGACTGAACAAGGGCCTATCATACCCCAGATATGGGGGTGTCTCAGCAGACAGGGCAGACAGGCAGTCCCAAGCATGTGGAGTTTCCAGTGGGGAAGGAGAAAGTGGGGCAGAGGGTGAAAGCACAGGTAAAGCCATTATGAAGCACACTCAGGTGCTAGGCCTGTGGATAGAAGCATAGAGTGAGGCACATCAGAGTGCGTGCTGGGGGCAGTTTGCCTTATAACTGGGGACCGGGATAGATGGATTGAGAAGATGAGATTTACCCAAAACTTTAAAAAAAGTGAACAGGTCAGTCAACTAGATATCTGAGGGAAGAACCTTCTAGAAGAATGAACAGCAGGAGCTGAGGCCATACAAGGGAACATCTAGGCCTGAGTGGCT